AAATGCTTACCAGGGTGGCAGAGGGGACAGGGTGGGGTACAGAGGGGCATGAGGCAGTGAGGGATGGGCACGGGCTGCTGCTGGAGACCCCATGGCTACAAGCAGCTCTGGAATGCTCACTTAAGGAAATACAAGCTCAGAGAGGGACAAAAGTGGTTTGGAGGGACAAAGAGAGCACAGAATGAGCATCTGGTGTGGGAAAATGCAGCATATTTAGGTAAGGGGGGGTGTGCAGGGATACAGGCAGAACAACAGGGAGATGGTGCAGTGTTCTGCATCATCCCATGCACAAGGACAAGGTCTGGGCATTCACATGGGACAAGCTGGAAAGTTTTTTGGGGAGATGGGGGGATCTGCACACCCATGAACACGGTGTCTGTGCAGGGAAAGCTCACAGGAAGTGTAACTCAGGGCTGAATCACAGTAAATGGACAAACCCCATCCCTGGAAGTGTTCCAGGCCAGGCTGGACAGGGCTGGGAGCAACCTGGGACAGTGGGAGCTGTCCATGCCCATGCAGGGGCTGGAACTGGAGGAGCTTTAATGTCCCTCCCAGCCAAACCCTCCTTTGATTCTATGATTTCTGCTTTTCAAATGTTTTCTGGGCAAACATCAAGTCAACCAAATGGCTCCAGGACCAGCTGCAAAAATCTGCAGAAGTCCCTGGTGCAGAAGGCTGGGCAGGAAGGAGTGAAAGCATTGCTGTGCCTCAGATTCCTGATGCCCACAGGAGCAGGAAAGTTAAAGCAGGATTAGAGCAGGATGCGTCCGGGAAGGGGCAGTGCCCTCCTGGGGCAGCACCGTTTTGGGGCCAACTTCCCTGTTCTGCTCTGTGGTGGCCAAACCACAACAAGGGCAGCCCCAGGGCAGCCCTGGGGTCAGGAGAGGGCATGAGCTGCTGACTGAGAGCAGATCCAGCAGAGAGGGATCCACCAGGAGACCCCCAGAGCCCCTAGAGCTGTTTCCAGAAAGGCCCAGAAGAACAGGCTGCTCACACCAAGAGCAGGATGCTGCATGCCAGGGTGGGGAATGTTTCCTACAAAAAGTGTCCCCAAACAGGGGCAGTGCCCCAGGACCACCTGCTCGGATCAATGCTGGAGCCAGGACTGGTGATCTCCTTTCCTACCCACTCTCCTGCCTCCCTCTTTCACTTCACTCTTTTATTTCTCTCACTACTACAACATAGGGGCAAAGCATGCATCAATTTCCACATGCATCAATTTCCACACCAAGTGTGGAGCTAGCCAATAAAACCTGGTGAGCTTTGTTTTTTGGACCCTTCTGTCTTTTGCCATTCCTTTGTGACCCTTCTTTTGGGCACCTATGACTCCTGGGTGCTTCCTTCTACACAAGAGTGGGACGTGACACCTGGCACGACTGAGTCACCGAACAATGGAACAACAGATTTCAGAGAAAAAGCAGCTGAGATGAACACACAGTGATGCACTGGGGGGAACACGTCAGATGGAAGATGACAGGCTGGTGGCTGACAATTATCTCTCAGGAACAAGCTGTCACTGCTCTGACAATGTTACAACACAGTTCAGTGATCAGCAGTTCCAAAAACAAACCAGATATTAGAAATTCCCTGGCAAGGAGCAGAAAATGTGGCCAGGACAGTGCAGGGCATCTGAAACTGCCAGAGTCCTGAGCCTCCGGGGGCAAAACTCTGCTGGTGGAGGGAGCAGGGGTGGAAAAGGGTCTGAAATGGGTGGGGAAGATCTGCTCAGGGACATCTCAGTGTGAGGGGTCGGGAGCACAAAGCTGTTTTCTACCTGCCAGGAGGGAGCAGGGACAGGAGCAGAGGGAACGGGCTCAGGCTGGGCCAGGGCAGGCTCAGCTTGGACAGCAGCAGCAATTTGCCCATGGCAAGGGAGCTCAGGCCTTGGCAGGGGCTGCCCAGGGAGCTTTGCAGTGCCCAGCCCTGCAGGTTGTGAAAGATGATCTGGAGTTCCCCAGACCGTGCCCAGGACAAACATCGGGACCCTGAGGGCCCTGATGGGAATTCTGGCCTGCCAGTGGTGGATGAATGCCAAAACTCCTGAGGGCCCTGATGGGAATTCAGGCCTGCCAAGGGATTGTTCACAGCTGTGTCTACAGCTTCTGGGAGGGCCTGCCAAGGGTGACACACCCTGTATGCTGGCACCTGTTTCCCAACAATAGCTTGAGAATTTCCCCACCTCTTGGCCTGGCTGGGCTTTTCTGGGGTAACCTTTGGTGGTCCCCCTCCCTCACAGAAAAGCCATCATCTGCTTTATGACCATTGTGATGGACAGGCTGAGATGGGAGAAGCCTCTCCCTCAAGGATTGAGCCATGAAACCCCCATGTGGAGAAGCCCCCCTCTCCCTCATGGACTGAGCCATGAAACCCCCATGTGGAGAAGCCTCTCCCTCCTTCCAAGAACTGGGACTGAAACCCCTGACCCAGGGGAGGGGGAGAGCCGACCTGACCAAAGCCAGATTTTGCCAAGCCCTACCTGATGGCTGGACCAAGAGGACAATGGCTCTCACGTACTGCTGAGAACATGGACTACCTGTTACATCTGTTCTTTATTGTACCTGTTTCCCCCCCCTTACAATTTTCAGTAGAGTTATCATAATAAAAACCTCTGAGTTAGCCAGAGATTTCGAGATCTCCCCGACGTCACAGGCAGATCCTCGGCCAGACTGGACCAAAGGACATGGTCTCTATGTTTGGTAGCTATATCCCCCCTCTTTCTCTGTTTTTCTCTCTTTCTCTGTCTTTTCTCTCCCTTAATCCCTCTATCTCATTTGCTGTGGTCGCTCAATAAAGGTGCATTTGGTTTGATTATCACTGCAATCCCCACTCCGTGTTGTGTTTCGCACTCAGAGATCAGTGAATGAACCATCACCACCCGTGTTCCTACGAGCAGATTGTGACACAGGTGTCCCCTGGAGGTGTGGCACTCGGTGCTCTGGGCTGGGGACAAGGTGGGGAGGTCTCTTCCAGCCTCAGGGATTCTGTGATCCGCACAGCAGGGTCTCGCAGAGCCTGAAGTGCTCACATGTGAAATTTAGAAGGATCTGCTGCTCGGGCAGGTGATTCATCCCTGAAACAGCAGTGATGTGAGTGAAGAAAAGATGTGAGTGAAGACAAGAGCGAATCAGCCCCCAAGCTGCTCCAGGAGGAAGATCTGTCCCCATGCTGAGGGCAGGGGCTTTCCACGGGCTCTGGTGAGGCCTTCAGCCCCAGTGGATGTGCTCAGGGGTTCCAAGGAGCTGCACTGCTGCCCCTCAGCTCTGCATTTCAGGTTTGTGGTGGGACTTGTTCTTTTCCCTCTGAGGAGCAGCCTGTGTGACATTTGCTGCCTTTTGCCTTTTTTCCATGACTTGTTCCATACCCAGAGCCCTGGGTCAGTCCCTCCTGGACTCTTCTGCCCCGTGCAATGGGCAGATCCCAGCAAGGGGAGGAAAGAGGGTTTGTGGTGAGGGGCCAGGGCTGGGCACACACCTGCTCTGGGAAGGAAACTCTGGATTTCTCCAGGCTGGAGCAGCCACTGCCACCCAAACATTGTCCCTGTGCTGACAAACGCTGGCACCAGCCACAGCTCCTCAAAGAGAGGGGGCAGTTCCTCCCCAGGGCAGCACCTGTGCCAGCAGCTCTGCTGTTAAAGCTGCCCCAGGAAGCTGCTGGGCTGCCTCTGAGTGCTGGAGAGGGGGCAGAGGCTTTTCAGGCTGGTAAGGCTGACACTGATTTGGGGGCATAAATGCAGTTATAATGTAAGTTAGCTACTTCCCAGCTCTCAGGCTTCTGTGTCTGTCTCCTCAGGCCTGTAGCTGCTTTTTCTGGGGCATTTTGTGCTATTTTAATGCTGGAAATGCTTTGTCTTGCTTCTGTGTTTTGCAAAGTTCTTCTTCGAATGTGTCTGGTTCAGATCCTTGTGCTGTGTCAACAAGGAATGGGAAGGAATTTTCTTGGTTAAGTTTTGATGTTGGTTGATTGGTGTGGGGTTGTTTTTTGGGGTTTTTTAGAAAATGGCTATAAAATTGGTCCCAGCCTCTAGGCAGGCAGAGGAGGCTGAGGCACAGCGTGTGAAATGTCTTTTATTGCTCAAATCAGAGCAGGCTGGAGCACACTGGGGTGGTGGGAGGTGATCCTGCCCATGGCAGGGGTGGAATGAGATGGGCTTTGAGATTCCTCCCAGCCTTCTGTGATGCTCTGGTGATTCAGCTCTCCACTGGAGACCTCAGGAGAGGGTGTCCAAGTCTCAGATAAAGAAAATGTTTTCCTGTCTTAGCATAGTCCTGAAGTCACCATGGGCCTCCTGCAGCTCCTGGCCCACCCAAGGTGCCGTGTCTGGTGCACTCCCTGAACTCAGGAGAGACATCCCTGCACTCCCTGAACTCAGGAGAGACATCCCTGCATTCCCTGAACTCAGGAGAGACATCCCTGCACTCCCTGAACTCAGGAGAGACATCCCTGCACTCCCCCTGCCTTGGTGCACCAGGGCTGGGGCTGGCAGCTCCTCTCTGAAGCACTGGGGAGGCAGAAGGACCCCGAAGGTTGCGGGTGTCCCCGAGCCCCCCTCCTGGCTCAGGGCTGATGGAGACCCCAGCCCCAGCTCTCCCAGGGCTGTTTGTCCCCACCGTGGTGCTGCCCTGGTGACAACGGTGCCCGACCTTGCAGCCTGCCTGGGGGGGCTGCTGCGTGTCCTTGGTGCCATCAAGATGTGTTGTATTGTCCCTGGAGGAGCTGCCCGGCTGCACAGCACCTCCCTCGCTGCTGCCTGCGACAAACCCTCTCCTGGGCTCTCCCCTCTCCTGGGCTCTCCCCTCTCCTGGGCTGTCCCTCTGTCCTCTCTCCCAGCACTGTCCCCTCTCTCCCAGCACTGTCCCCTCTCTGCCCAGCTTTGTCCCCTCTGTCCTCTCTCCCAGCACTGTCCCCTCTCCTGGGCTGTCCCTCTGTCCCCTCTCCTGGGCTCTCCGCTCTCCTGGGCTCTCCCCTCTCCTGGGCTCTCCCCTCTCCTGGGCTGTCCCTCTGTCCTCTCTCCCAGCACTGTCCCCTCTCTGCCCAGCTTTGTCCCCTCTGTCCCCTCGGCCCAGCCCTGTCCCCTCTCCTGGGCTGTCCCCTCTCTCCCCTCTCTGTCCCCTGTCCCCCAGCGCTGTCCCCTCTCTCGCAGCCCGTTCCCGGGATGGCAGTGGCTCGGGCAGTGGCTCAGGCGGTGGCTCTGGCGGTGGCGCTGGCGGTGGCGCTGCTGCCGCTGGCAGCCGAGGCGGGGAAGGAGCCGCTGCTGAACGTCTGCATGGATGCCAAGCACCACAAGAGCGAGCCGGGCCCCGAGGGCAAGCTCTACGAGCAGGTAGGAGCGGGGCTGGGCTGGCACACCTGGCTGGGTACCTGCACACCTGGCCGGGCACCTGCACACCTGGCTGGCACACCTGGCTGGGCACTGGCACACCTGGCTGGGCACCTGCACACCTGGCCGGGCACCTGCACACCTGGCTGGCACACCTGGCTGGGTAGTGGCACACCTGGATGGGTACCCCAGAGCACAGTGGGGAGAGGAAGGAAGGAAGGAAGGAAGGAAGGAAGGAAGGAAGGAAGGAAGGAAGGAAGGAAGGAAGGAAGGAAGGAAGGAAGGAAGGAAGGAAGGAAGGAAGGAAGGAAGGAAGGAAGGAAGGAGAGGAAGGAAGGAGAGGAAGGAAGGAAGGAAGGAGAGGAAGGGCTCTCCTCTGCTCCCTCAGTGTGGGACACCCTCCTTGCTCTGCCCCAGCCCCTCAGCAGAGGAAGGGGGTTTGTTTGTGTCCCTGGGCTGGCACAATTCCTGCTGAGGAGCCGATCTGCTGCCCCAGCTCTGCCTTGCTGCAGTGCCCAGCTCCTGAGTGACCAGGAGTTTGCTGGAGAGGACAAAGTGCTGTGGTTGCTGTGGGCTCTGCCCCCGGAGCTGCTGCCTGTCCCCTCTGTGCTGCAGTGCTCCCCCTGGAAGGACAACGCCTGCTGCACGGCCAACACCAGCCTGGAGGCGCACAAGGACCAGTCCTACCTCTACAACTTCAACTGGAACCACTGCGGGGTGATGCCACCCAAGTGCAAGCGCCACTTCATCCAGGACACGTGCCTGTACGAGTGCTCCCCCAACCTGGGGCCCTGGATCCAGCAGGTGGGCTCAGACCCGGGATCCTGGGACTCTTGGCGTTGGGAGGGACATTAAAACTCGGCCTGTGCCACCCTGCCATGGCAGGGACACCTCCCACTGTCCCCAGTGTCCAACCTGGCCTTGGGCACTGCCAGGGATGCAGGGGCAGCCCCAGCTGCTCTGGCAATTCCATCCCAGCCCCTGCCCACCCTGCCAGGGAAGGATTTCTCTTCCATATCTAGGCTGTCTCAGCTTTCCCCACAGGACAGAAAGATTCCAAGGACGTTTCTGGCCTCTGACTGATGGAAGAATTCCTTGTGTCAGGACCCACCTGTGCTGGGCTGAGGCTCCTCTGGGACCAGCTGTGGCCCCGGGAGGGGCTGGGGGGATCTGGGGTGTGGCAGAGCCTCCAGGTCACACCTGCCCAGCGTGCCTGGCCCTGTGCCCTGCAGGTGGACAGCAGCTGGAGGAGGGAGAGGATCCTGCACGTGCCCCTGTGCAGGGAGGACTGCGAGGAGTGGTGGCAGGACTGCAAGGATGCCCTCACCTGCAAGGAGAACTGGCACAAGGGCTGGAACTGGGCCACAGGTTGGTGGGCTCTGGGAGCCTGTCCTCACCCCTGGCAGGTCACCGGCAGTGCCACTGCTGCCAGGAGCCCTCTTGTCAGAGCCCAGGACATTGCTCTGGCTGCCCTGGAGGGCTCCAGACCCTGGCAGGGGGCTCAGAGACCTTGGCATGGAGTCAAAGACCCCTGGGCCTTTGATTTTAACCCACAGAAACAATTACCAACTTTGTGTGAGGAGTTACAAGCCACAAGAGTTTGAGTAGAATGATAGTGAATTTATCACAGGGTGAAAAAGTAGAATTTTGGGGGTTTTAGAATGGGGGTTCAAGAGGCAAGATGGAGGAATCTGGGTGTGTCCTATCTTCCTCCTTCTCCTTCTCCTTCTCCTTTTCTTCTCCTCCATCTTCTGCTGTGATGGTGGCACTTTTGGATTGGTTTAGAGTAGAAGCTCACTGTTTAACACAGGTGATAGGTATTGGGAAGTAATTGTAAATAAAGCACACGTAGTTCTTAGTATAAAAAGATAACAGCACCCCAAGGGCAGGGACTGTGCCACAACCCGACCTGCCAGACAGACCTGCGGCGGGTCAGAGAAAGAATGTTATAGATAACAGAAAATAAACAGCCTTGGGAACCAGAGCCGAGGAGTCTCGGCTTCTTCAGTGGCAGGGCTGGGAGAAACAGGACTTTCTAACACCCCAGGGGTCATCACAGGCCCAGGCACCGAGAGCCTGTCGCCTCTCTGGGGTGTCAGGGCGGTGGCCGAGCCCCCAGCGCCCAGCTCAGGTGTGAGTGTGGGCTGTGGGCAGGGGCCCTGCTCCTGCCGAGGGAAGGACAGGAGGGGATGGCTGTGCTCTCACCGTGCCACGCTGCTGTGTCCCCAGGAACCAACCGCTGTCCCTGGGGCTCCGAGTGCCGGCCCTTCCACCAGGTGTTCCCCCGGCCCCAGGACCTGTGTGAGAAGATCTGGTCCGGCTCCTTCAGGCTCAGCCCCGAGCGCCGGGGCAGCGGCCGCTGCATCCAGATGTGGTTCGACCCTGCCCGAGGCAACCCCAACGTGGCCGTGGCCCGGTACTACGCCGGGATAAAGAGATCGTCCCCCGGCCAGGAGGGCACCCTGGCTCCCCAGAGCGATGGCAGCGGGCGGGCTCTGCCCTGCCCTGCGCTGCTCCTGCTGCCCCTGCTGCCCCTGGCCCTGCTGCTGCTGCTGCCCCCAGAGCTGGGGGGCTCCCGGGCATGGGGCTCCCTGTGACCCCTCTGGGACAGGGCACAGCCTGCAGGAGCTGGCACAAACAGCTCTGTCCGTCCGTCTGTCCCAGGGCTCAGCATAGGTTGTGCTGCTGGACCGTGGCACCACCTCTCTGCTGACCAGAACAGGGATTTCCCTGCCTGTGCCTCCGGGGAAGAGCAGGGCAGTCTCTGCTCTGCTGTGGGAGCTGCTGCACCTCTGTTCCTCCCCTGGCTGAGCTCTGGTGTTGGTGCTTTGGGCTGCTGTGACTCCCTGAGGGGTGCCTTTGGTAATAAAGTCTGGCTCTCTTTCAGCCCTGCTGTCCTGATCTGAAATATTCCTGAGGGAGGGGAGAGTCCCAGGGGTGCTGCTGGGTGTGGGGTCTGTAAATGGAGGAATTGGCCTGGGGGGAGGAAAGATCATAAAATTATAAATGGTTTCCATTGGAAGAGATGTCAAATCTCATTTCTTTCCACGCTCCTGCCATGGCAGGGACACCTCCCAGTGTCCCCAGTGCCCAGCCTGGCCTTGGGCACTGCCAGGGATGCAGGGGCAGCCCCAGCTGCTCTGGGCACCCTGTGCCAGGGCCTGCCCACCCTGCCAGGGAACAATTCCTCATGGCCAAGATCCCATCCAGCCCTGCCCTCTGGCACTGGCAGCCATTCCCTGGGTGCTGTCCCTGCAGGCCTTGTCCCCAGTCCCTCTGCAGCTCTCCTGGAGCCCCTGCAGGCCCTGCCAGGGGCTCTCAGCTCCCCCTGGAGCTGCTCCTGTCCAGGTGAGCCCCCCCAGCTCCCCCAGCCTGGCTGCAGCCCCTCTGGGCTCTCTCCAGCAGCCCCAGGTGCTGGCCCAGGGCTGGGGCAGAGGGGCTGAGCTGTCCCTGCTGTGCCCCGGGCCAGGGGCTGCAGCCCAGGGGAGCCCCCTCAGCCCTGCCACACCTGCCTTGGGCTCAAGGTGAAGGTTCCCAGGCTGCAGGACCCGGACAGGCCCTGCTGCTCTGCTGCTCTGGGGTTTTTCTGCCTCTGAGGCAGAAATTTCAGCAGAACCTGAGGAAGGTCCTGCAGGGAAATGCAGGGCTGGGAAGGGCTGGGTGCCCTGCCTGGACAGAGAGGCCCTGCTGCTGCTTTAGGGGTTGGGTAAAGCAGAAAGCAGGCTGACTCCTCACCCTCAGAGCTGCATGAGTGAGGGGAAGGTGTGGCAGAGCAGGGGAAGCTGCTGAGGAAGGAGCCCCAGGGGATGATGGCACTGGGCCTTTCCCTCCAGCTGCTGAGCTGGCACGGCCCAGGGACACCTGGCTGCCACCCCAGGGCCTTGATCCCATAAAAACCCAGTCCCAGGTGCTCAATCTGGGCATCTTCCAGCACCCCTTAGCCTGGGTACCCTCTGGGGACACCCCTCAAGGTCACCTCTCAAGGCTGGGCCAGGGAGATGTGCCCTGGTCTGGGTGAGTGACATGGGCCTCTGCTCAGCAATGGGGTTTGCTGCCTCTAGCAGAACTGCCTCAGTCTTGTTTCACATATCACACTGCTATTGTAGCTGCCTGTCTGTGCAGCAAACAATGCTGATTAACCTCTTAGTCTAGCCATTACCATAATGAATTTATATATTTATATACATGAATGAATTTGTATTATATAAATTCATATATATTTCTATATATATTTCTATATATTTTCTATGTAGAATTATATCATATATATTGTATTATTTATAATATATAATGTATATTGTATATTATATATAAAAATAGTATATAATTATACATAATATAATATATATGTTATGTCGCAGACATCTTCCATGAAAAATCCTTTCTTAGGATTTTTCCTTGTGAGAAGCTGCAGTTTCAGCAACCAGAAGTAACCAATGGTTATCTGCTGCTGTGGAATGCAACAGGCAGACCTGGGATTGGTCTCCTGTGGGAGTTTGGATTTACTGACCACTCATGGCAGAGCTGGCTCTTGCTCTCTGTCTGAGACACAGATCTTTGTTATTCATTCTTTTCTATTCTTAGCTTAGCTAGCTTCTGAAGAAACCTTTTCCTTTCTATTGCTTTTTAGTATAGTTTAAATGTAACATATATCATAAAATAATAAATCAAGCCTTCTGATCATGGAGTCAACATTCTCGTCTCTTCTTCATCCTGAAAACCCTTGTGACCACAGTCACATATGTTATATTATAATTTATAATATATAATATATTATATATTATATAGATAATATATAATAATATATAATATTATTATATATATTTATATATTTTTATATTTATGTGTTTATATTTATATTTATATAAATAATAATTTATATATTTATATAAATATATTTGGGTTCCCAGCCTCAGTCCTGGAGGATTAAATCATGTAGAGGTTCAATCACAGCTGTGCAAAGCTTTAGACAGCAGCCACTGACCAGCTCTGGGGCTGGGCTTGGACCCAGCCTCACCCAGAGCCCCCTCTGGGGAGGAGCCCAGGAGGCCAAGGAGTCCCGCTGGGGTAGGTGGTGGTTTGGGGCTCTGTGGGGAGTGTTTGGGGTCCGTGAGGAATGTTTGGGGTCTATAGGGAGTGTTGGGGGTCTATAGGGAGTGTTTGGGGGTCTATGGGGAATGTTTGGGCTCTGTGGGGAGTGTTTGGGGTCTATAGGGAGAGTTTGGGGTCTATAAGGAGTGTTTGAGGTCTATAAGGAGTGTTTGGGCTCTGTGGGAGTGTTTGGGGTCTATAGGGAGTGTTTGGGGTGTATGAGAAGTGTTTGGGGTCTATAAGGAGTGTTTGGGGTCTATAGGGAGTGTTTGGGGTCTATAAGGAGTGTTTGGGGTCTATAGGGAGTGTTTGGGGTCTATGGGGAGTGTTTGGGGTCTATAAGGAGTGTTTGGGCTCTGTGGGGAGTGTTTGGGGTCTATGAGAAGTGTTTGGGGTCTATAAGGAGTGTTTGGGGTCTATAGGGAGTGTTTGGGGTCTATAAGGAGTGTTTGGGGTCTATAAGGAGTGTTTGGGGTCTATAGGGAGTGTTTGGGGTCTATAAGGAGTGTTTGGGGTCTATAAGGAGTGTTTGGGGTCTATAGGGAGTGTTTGGGGTCTGTAAGGAGTGTTTGAGGTCTATAAGGAGTGTTTGGGCTCTGTGGGAGTGTTTGGGGTCTATAGGGAGTGTTTGGGGTCTATGAGAAGTGTTTGGGGTCTATAAGGAGTGTTTGGGGTCTATAGGGAGTGTTTGGGGTCTATAAGGAGTGTTTGGGGTCTATAAGGAGTGTTTGGGGTCTATAGGGAGTGTTTGGGGTCCTTTCTGCCCCTCAGGACTCAGGGAGGATCTCATGGCGAACTTTGTCTCCCACTCTGCCCATGGGGCAAGCCCAGGCTGCAGAGCTTTGTCGTACTTCAGATGTTTTCAGGAGCTTTTAGATCAGAGCAGCTATTTCCAAAAGCTTTTCTGGCACATTCTTATTTTAAAATGCTCCTAACCATGTAGCCTCTGCCACAGCTGATCAGTAATTCCTTTCCTTTACATGAAACAGAGAAGCACTTTCCCTGTCCAACTTAAATATGATGCATTCAACCTAATTGCTCAAAGTACACTCTCTTGTCTCCAAAACTGGGAGGTGGAGCCCACAACTGACCATTTGTTTGTCTGGGTTTTGTAGCTGAGAGCGCTGGAGCTCAGCAAGGTGGGCTTGGCAATGCTGATGGAAATGGAAATGGAAATGGAAATGGAAATGGAAATGGAAATGGAAATGGAAATGGAAATGGAAATGGAAACGTCTCCTTGTCCCTGGGTCCCTGGCAGTGCCCAAGGCCAGGCTGGACACTGAGGGCAGCCTGGGACAGTGGGAGGTGTCTCTGCCATGGCAGGGGTGGCACTGGCTGGGCTCTGGGGTCCCTCCACCCCAAACCACTCCAGAATTCTCACACTGCACAAGGACAATGCCCAGGAGCTGGCATTTCAGGAACCCACGAGGTTCATTACAGATGGAATCAAAAGAGCAAATATTTTATTCCGCCCAGTCCTCACCAATGCAATGACTGGGCAGGAAGGGCACTAGGAGGCACCTGGCATAAATCCCCACCTTTGTGGTGATCCTGGCATGAGAAAAAGCCAGAAGTGATGGTTTACAGAAGGAAATGGCACAAGCATGGAAAGCAAAGAGAAGGATGGGAAGGCAAGAAGTGATTTGCATTCAGCAAGAGGCCGATGAAAGTACAGGCTGCTCTGTTATCCAAACGGTGGGGAAGCACAGGCAGTGATGGATGGGGTGACCAGGCATGGCACTTACTGTGCTCTTTGTTATAAATTGTTGTTCCTGCAATAGTCTAACATCACCAGCAAAGTAAGAAATCAGGGAGAATAGGGGAGGAAATTAAAGGCCAATCAAACAGATGGTTTAAAATTAGCAGGGCAGGGCAAGGGCAGGGTGACAATTCCTCTGGGAACACTTACAGAGGGGCAGGGGCAGCCCAAGGGCTGCTGGCAGAGATCTTGGAGCACGAGCAGAAGATAAATGGGAATGAAAACCAGCGTGGAGTGGGCAACAGAGAGGCAGAGAGCCCCTGGGATTAACATTCAGCTCCTGAAAAGCCGTGCAGCAGAGAGGGCCGGTCCTCACCGAGCACACACGGCAGTGACCGAGCAATCTCAGGAGCAGATTGTGACACCGGGCTGCAATCTCTGCTGCAGGGGGACAGCGCGTGGGGCTGGCAGGGCACAGACAGGGCGTGCGGCTGGGACAGGGCTGGGACAGGGCTGGGACACACCTGGGACACCTGGGACACACCCAGGACACACCTGAGTACAGCCGGGACACACCCAGGACACACCTGGGCACACCTGGGTACACCTGGGCACACCTGGGACACACCTGGGTACACCTGGGCACACCTGGGACACAGCTGGGCACACCTGGGACACACCCGGGACACACCTGGGCACACCTGGGCACACCTGGGCACACCTGGGACACACCTGGGACACCTGGGACACACCCAGGACACACCTGGGCACACCTGGGCACACCTGGGACACACCTGGGTACACCTGGGCACACCTGGGACACACCTGGGACACCTGGGACACACCCAGGACACACCTGGGCACACCTGGGCACACCCGGGACACACCTGGGCACACCTGGGACACACCTGGGACACACCTGGGCACACCTGGGACACACCCGGGACACAGCTGGGACACACCTGGGCACACCTGGGACACACCTGGGACACACCCGGGACACAGCTGGGCACACCTGGGCACACCTGGGACACACCTGAGTACACCTGGG